GAAAGAACACATCTGAAATGGTGAAGGGTTATTCTGATTTTTTTTTAACCTACTCTGTGCTGGACCAGTGTATTGGTCTGCTCAGGCTACCATACAAAATAACACAAACTGGGTGTCTTAAACAACAGAAATGTATTTTCTCTTACCATGGAGGCTGGAAGTTAAAGATTAAGATGTCAGCAGGTTTGGTTTCTTCAGGGGCTTCTCTCCTTGGCTTGCAGATGGCCACCGTCTCACCATTCCCTCACATAGCTTTCTTCTATGTTCATGCGTGTCCCTTGTCTCTCCATGTGTCCAAATTTCCTCCCCTTGTAAGGACACCAGTCATGTTGGATTCAAGATCACTCATATGACCTCATTTTACCTTACTTACCTCTTTAAAGTCCCTATCTCCAAGTACAGTCACATTCTGAAGTACTAGGGGTTAGGGCTTCAACATATGAATTTGGGGGGACACAAATTCAATCCATAACAGCCAGATGTGCACAAACTATGACTATTCTAAACCAATCAATTCTTGCCAGAGGATTGGCAGCAGGATTCAACTGCATGAAAATCTTTTTTTTTTTTATCCTCACCTGAAGACACACTTTTTAAATTGATTTGAGAAGGAAGGAAGGAAGGAAGGAAGGAAGGAAGGAAGGAAGGAAGGAAGGAAGGAAGGAAGGAAGGAAGGAAGAAGGAGGAGAAGGAGGGAGGAGGAGGAGGAGAAGAAGGAGGAGGAGAAGGAGGAGGAGGAGGAGGAGGAGGAGGAGGAGGAGGAGGAGGAGGAGGAGGAGGAGGAGGAGGAGGAGGAGGAGGAGGAGGAGAGGAGGAAGAAAGAGAGCGAGAGAAACTTCTATGATGAGAGAGAAACATGGATCAGTTGTCTTCTGAACATGCCCCAACCGTGAATCAAACCCAAAACCTGGCCCTGATCAGGAATCAAATCTGCCACATTTTGGTGTGTCAGACAATGCTCCAACCAACTGAGCCACACGGGCCAGGACTTCATGAAAATCTTAAGGACATTCTTTGGTGATAGCTATGCTGACCAGTATGGCAGCCCATAGCCACATGTGTCTATTGAGTACTATTGCGGCTATATGACTGAGGAACTGAATTCTTTATTTTATTTTAAGTTGTTTGTTTTAAAACTTAAGAAATATATTTTTTTGTGAAACACAATTTTATTGTTTTAGTAGGAATGCACTTCACTTCAACTATTAAAAATTTAGTGTCTCAATAGAGATATATTATAAGTGTGGAACACACACTGAAATTTGAAACAGGATAAAAATATGAAGTATCTCATTAATAATTTTTTATCAATTATGTATTAAAATTTAAAAAATGCAATACATTAGTTAAATAAAATATATTACTAAAATTAATTTTATCTGTTTTGTTTTACTTTTTATAATGTGGCTACAAGGAAATTTTGAATTGCATGTATGATTTGCACTGTATATTTCTATTGGACAGCATCAAGTTAGGACTTTAGTCCTCCAAAATCCCATTGCTCATTCAAGGTTAGTCAGTGGATAAACTAAAGGATAAATTCCTTTTGCCAAAATGATTAAAGATCCAGGTCCTTTTGTGTCTGCTGTACTAAAATCAAGATAACTGAAAACCATCATTTCCTTTGGATAATAATATATTATTAAATCTGCAAGTTTTCTCAACAATATTTTCAACTTTAAAATCTTGCTTACTCATGCCTACATTTAGGAATCAGGGATAGTTTTTTTCATAAAAGATTCTTTCTTATAAATTAATCCTGTTACCTTGGTACCCCTAGCTTTTCCTGGACAACACTGGCTTTATCTCATCACTCTAATCTTTTTTTTTCTGTCCTCCTGCCTCAGTTACTAGGAAATTCTTAGATAAAGTGTCTGATATTCCTTCATTATTTAACACATGCTGAAACTCTCTCTAATTTATTTACCTGCAAATGAAAAGTCATACTGCATTTTACACATTAAAAGTTAATAATTCAGACAAAATTTTTGATATTAGGTCAAAATATTACTAAAATAAATGTCTGAGATTTTACTGCCTATGTTCTCTTCTAGGATTTTTATGGTTTCGAGTCTTACATTAAGTCTTTAATCCATTTTGAGTTTATTCTTGTATATGTTTTGAGAAAGTAATCTAGTTTTTATTTTTGCATGTATCTGTCCAATTTTCCCAACATCATTTATTGAGTAGACTGTCATTAGCCCATTCTAGGTTCTTGCCTCCTTTGTCAAATATTAATTTACCACCTAGACATGGGTTCATTTCTGGGCTCCCTACTTTATTCCATTGATGTATATATCTGCTTTTATGCCAGTACCATGCTGATCTGATTACTATGGCCTTGTAGTATAATTTGACATCAGGCAGTGTGATTCTTCCAACTTTGTTCTTCTTTCTCTAAATTGCTGCTGCTATTCATAGTCTTATGTGGCTCCATATAAATTTTTGGATTATTTGTTCTAATTTTGTGAAATACACCATTGGTATTTTGATAGGAATTGCATTGATTCTATAGATTGCTTTTGGTAGTATGGAAAGTTTAACAATGTTAATTCTACCTATCCATGAGCACAGCATATGCTTCTACTTATTTGTATCTTCTTCGATTTTGTTCTTCAGTGCCTTATAATTTTCTGAGTACAGGTCTTTCACTTCCTTGGTTAAATTTATTCCTAGTTACCTTTTATTTATGCAATTATAAATGGAAGTTTTTCTTAGTTTTCCTTTCTGATATTTCAGTTTGTGTGTGTGTATAAAAATGAAACCAGCACTGGCCAGTGCGGCTCAGTTGGTTGGGCAGTGCCCTGCACACTGAAAGTTTGCCTGTTCAATTGCTGGTCAGGGCACATGCCCAGGTTGCAGGCTCAATCCCCAGTAGTAGGCATTCAGGGAGCGGCCGATCAATGTTTCACTCTCATATCGATGTCTCTCTTTCTATCTCCCTCACCCTTCCTTTCTCTCTCAAAATCATTAAAACGTTTTTTAAATATACTAACAATGCAACTAATTTGTGGATATTTATTTTGTGTCCTGCTACTTCACTAAATTTATATATCAGTTTTAGTAGATTTTAGGGGGAATATTTAGGGTTCTCATCTGCAAATAATGACAGTTTTACTTCTTCCCTCTAATTTGGATGCCTTTTATTTCTTCTGTTTGTCTAATTGCTGTGTGTAGGATTGCTGTATGTTGAGTAAGAGTGGTGAATATGGACATCCGTCTTCTTCCTGATCTTTTTTTATGTTTTTATTGATTTCACACCCCCTACTGGGGATTGAGATAGCAACCAAGACATGTGGCCTAACTGGGAATCGAACCAGCAACCTCCTTGTGCATGGAACAATGCTCAAACAACTGAGCCACATGGGTCAGACTTGTTCCTCATCTTAAGAGAAATACTTTTAGTTTCCCCATTGAGTATGATATTAACTGTAGGTTTGTCATACATGACCTTTATTATGTTGAGATATGTTCCCTCTAGTCACACCTTGCTGAGAGTTTTTATCATAAATGGGTGTAGATTTTGTCAAATGCTTTTTCTGCATCTATTGATATGATCATATGATTTTTATGTTTTGTCTAGGTGATGTATCACATTAATTAATTTGCAGATATTAAACCAACCTTGTATCGAATGAATAAGTCCCAGTTGATCACAGTGTATGATCTTTTTAATGTACTGCTAAATTTGGCTTGCTAATATTTTGTTGAAGATTTTTGCATCTGTGTTCATCAGGGATATTGGCCTATAACTTCCTTTTTCTTTTTTCTTTTTTTTTTTTTTTTTTTTTTTTTTTTTTTTTTTGCTAATCCTCACCCAAGGATATTTTTCCATTGACTTTTAGGGAGAGTAGAAGAGAGAGGGAAAGACAGAGAAAAACAATGTGAGAGAAACACATCGATTGGTTGCCTCCTGCCTGAGCCTGACCAGGGCTGGGGCCGGGCAGGAGCCTGCAACCAAGGTATGTGCCCTTGACCGGAATCCAACTGAGACCCTTTGGTCTGCAGGCCAACACTCTATCCACTACGAGGGCTATAATTTTCTTTCTATTAGCATATTTATCTGATTTCGGAATTAGGATAATGCTGGCCTCATAAAATGAACTTTGGAGTTTTCCCTCCTCTTGAATTTTTTGGAGTAGTTTGAGAAAGGTAGGTGTAAGTTCTTTGAATATTTGGCAAAATTCACCTGTGAAGCCATCCACTCTAGGACTTTGTTTGTTGGGAATTTTTTTTATTACTGCTTGAATTTTATCAGCTGTAATTGGTTTGTTCAGATTTTCTAATTCTTAATTCATTTTGAGAGATTATATGTTTTCAAAAGCGTATCCACTTTTCCCAGATTGTTCAATTTTCTTGCATATAGTTGTTTGTAATATTTTCTTATAATCTATAGTAATAAAAGCATAATATGCTAATCAGACTGGAGAGCTGAACGACCTTCCGGACTACCTTCCAGATGAAGCTGGGGCTGCAAAGGCCAAGCCCCGTGCATGAATTTTGTGCATTGGGCCTCTAATCTTCTATATTTCTTTAGTGTCAGTTGTTACTTCTCCACTTTCATTTTTTATTTTATTTATTTGAATCCTCTCTCTTTTATTCTTCATGAGCCTGTTTGCAGGTTTATCAATCTTTATCTTTTTTCTTTGGAGACAAAAGACTCTTTATTCAAATACAATAAGTCTTTATTTACTGTAACATACTCCACAGGTTCTTGAAAATGGCAACTTATATCAATTGCCTATGGTAAAATCATGCTTATCTTTTCATAGAAAAACTTCTTAGTTTCATTAGCCTTTTTTGTGTGTTTTTTTTACTCTATTCTGTTTATTTCTGCTATGACATTATTTTCTTTCTTCTACACACTGGGTTTTGTTTATCTTTTTCTATTTCTTTTAAGCATAAGGTTGGATTGTATTTGAGATTTTTCTTGTTTCTTTTTTTTTTTTTTTTTTTTTTTTTTTTTTTTTTTTTTTTTTTTTTTTTTTTTTTTTTTTTGCCGTAGTTACAGTTAATTTTTATTAGGTTACATATTTAATGTGGGAAACGAAGGATTTTGTAATGACATAAGTGCTTGCAACAGAACATAAAGTGAAAAAAAATGGCTACCATATTACATATACAGGGGAAAGAGGAAAATGTATAAATATAAAAACAAATACACAAAGTAGGAACAAATACTGAAAGGAAACAAACTAAAATGATCATCTCTTTGAGGGGCAGAATTTGGGGTTTTTGTTTTCCTCGTCGAACTTTTCTGCATTTTCTCAATTTTCTATAATGGAAAATGCCTTAAAATCTCCACAAAGTCACGGGAATTTGTAAACACTAGCACTCTAAGCCCATTCTCCTTGGTGTGGGTGTCTAAAAACAACAACAACAACAACAAACTATTCACAATAGTAATTCACCAGAGGTGAAGAACCCCCGGTCTTCTTCCCTGGCCACTTCTTCTCCCATTCCTCTCACTGGCTGCTTGTCCGCTCTGGGTGCTCCCTGACTTGCATTCTACAGATGGGTTTCCAGAAGCAGCGCGGGAAACGGAGTGGGGAATCCGAGGTTGGTTCCCGATGCGCCCACGACCCCGTCTACCGTATGGAAAAGCACTGGCTTGGGTCTCCGTGGAGCATCAGAGAACTCCGCTCAGGTCGCCGGCCCTCGGCCTCGGTCTTCCCATCTGTAAAATGGGTTCAGGAGGATTTGCTGGCGGGGGCGGGGTGGGGGGGGAGCATGCGTGGGGCAGGGCTGTCGGGGGGATAGTTAGGAGATAGTCCCCGTAACTCCGAGATTTTTCTTGTTTCTTGAAGTAAGCCTGTAATGCCATGATTTTCTTCTTAGGACTGCTTTCACTGTGTCCCACTGATTTAGGGTTGCTGTATTTTTATTTGCGTTTGTCTCAAGGCATCTTTTAATTTCTTCTTTGATCTCATTGTTAACCCATTGTTTTGTAATGTGTTATTTAGCTTCCATGTGTTTGTTTTCATTTTTTTAATTGATATTTAGTTTCATATCATTGTGGTCAGAGAAGATGCTTGATATGACTTCAGTTTTCTTTAAATTATTAAGACTTGTTTTATGTCCTAATATGTGGTCTATTGTAGAGAATGTTCCATGCGCACTTGAAAAGATTGTATATTTTGTTGCTCTAGTGTAAAATACTTGGAAGATATCAATCTATGTGATCCATTTAGTCCACTGTTATATTGTTGATTTTCTGTCGAAAATATCTATGCATTGATATGAATGAGGTATTAAACTTCTCTACTATCCCTTTTTCATTATATAGTGGCCTTTGTTTCTTATTATAGCCTTGGCTTTAAGGTATATTTTGTCATATATAAGTATTGCTAACTCAGCTTTTTTTTCCATTTGCATAAAATATCTTTCTCCATACCTTTACTTCTAGTCCATGTGTGTCTTTTGTTCTGAGGTGGGCATCTTGTAGAAAGTATATATATGGGTCTTGTTTTATTATCCATTCAGCTACCCTACGTCTTTTGATTGAAGCATTTACGCCATTTACATTTAAAGTAATTATTTATAGGAAGGTGTTTATTGCTGATTTATTATTTATAACAATGTTCCTGGTTTTTTTCTTTCTTCTTCTTAAAGAAACCCCCTTAACATTTCCTGTAATATTAGTTTGTTGGTAATAAACTTCCTTAGCTTTTTCTTGGGAGCTCTTTATTTCTCCTTCAATTTTCAATGATAGCCTTGCTAGATTAAGTAGTCTTGGTTGCAGGTCTTTGCTTTTCATCACTTTGAACATTTTGTGCCAATCTTTCTGGCCTGAAATATTTCTGTTGATAAATTAGATGATGATCTTATGGGAGCTCCCTTGTAGGTTACTAACTTTCTTTCTCTTGCTGCTTTTAAGATTTTCTCTTTGTTTTTAACCTTTATCATTTTAACTAGGATGTGTTTTGGTGAAGGCCTCTTTGGGTTCATCTGTTTGGACTCTGTACTTCTGGGCTTTTGTCTCTTTTTCTTTCATCAGATTAGGGACAAGTGGTCCTGTTATGGCACCATCCCTCATGGAGACCATCCAGTCATTTGATAGCAGGTTAGTTACACTGGACTCCTTGCACCCTGGAAGAAGTGGCCATTCGTGTTGACTGAAGTCAACATATATTCCAAGTATGAGTCTGCCTGCCCTGCCCACAGGGTTTCAGCTAGCACCATGTTTAAAGGGCTTATGAAGAATATTTGAAAAAAAGATATTTTATCCACCAATGCAAGATCCTACATTATGTCACATTGGACTGAAAGGCCCATTTTACAGCAGTGGCCTCATGCTCACAGGATCTACTAGTCCTGCTACATTCAACATTACAAAAAACTGCCAGCTTCACAGAGCAGTTAAAGAACCATTTAAGGCACAGCCAATATGTCAACTGAAAGATAAAAACATGCAATAATGTGGCACACACCCTAAATCAATGATCTTTATATGGTACTGTGTTCCCAGTAGGTGAAATAAATACGTCTGGGAAACAAGGGGTTAACATAAAATTAACTCCACACACCATCACATCCAATGATTTATGTGGAGAATCTGCTTACCATCTCTGCAATTCTGGTTGCTGTAGTTCAATACATTCCGGTTCCCAAGCAGGGAAGACTTGCACCAGGGGTAGCAAGTGTCCCATTCAATTTCTTAAATTTATTTTTATTGTTGACATTATTATAGATATCCCTCATTTACCCCAACATTTCCCCCCTTCTACCCAGGCCCCATGCTTCCCTCCCTCTGGCCCTAATAACATTGTTTTCTGTGTCCATGTGCCATGCATATATGTTCCTTAGCTATTCATTACCTTCCATCTGCCCCACCACCCTCCTCTCTAACATATGATTCTGCTTCTATTTTGTTCTGCAGTTTGTTTTGTTCATTAGATTCCACATATAAGGGAGATCATATGTTATTTGTCGTTCTCTGACAGGTTTATTTTGCTTAGCATTAAAATCTCCAGGTCCATCCATGCTGTCACAAAAGGTATTCCATTGTTGAAATGTACCATAGCTTTTTTCCCACTCATGTACTGATAGGCACTTGGGCTGTTTCCAGATCTTGGCTATTGTAAATAATGCTGTTATGAACATAGAGGTACATATATTCTTTCTGATTGGTGTTTCAAGATTCTTAGGTTATTTTCAGAAGTGGGATAGCTAGGTCAAAAGGCAGTTCATTTTTTAATTTTTTGAGGAAACTCCATACTGTTTTCCATAGTGGCTTCACCAGTCTCTATTTCCACCAACAGTGCACTAGGGTTCCCTTTTCTCCACATCCTCTCTAGCACTTGTTGTTTGTTGATTTACTGATGGCAGGTATGAGGTGACATCTCATTATGGTTTTAATTTGCATCTCTCTGATGATTAGTGACATTGAGCATTTTTTCATATGTCTATTGGCCATCTGTATGTCCTCTTTGGAGAAGTGTTTTTTCAGGTCCTTTGCCCATTTTTTAAATAGTTTATTGATTTATAGAGCAAGAGAGGAAGGGAGAAGAGAGAAAAATCAATGTGAACGCACAACATTGATAGGCTGCCTCCTACAAGCCCCTCCCACCCCCCCACCCCCCACACCCCCCACGGGGATCGAGCTTGCAACACAGGAATTTGTCCTGACCAGGAATCCAACCAGCAACCTACTGGTGCATTGGATGATGCCCAACCAACTGAAACACACTAGACAGGGCCACCAATTTTTTTAATTGCATTGTTTTATTTATTGTTGTTTAGTTGTATAAGTTCTTTATATATTTTGGATATTAACCCCTTATTAGCTATATCATTGGTGATTATGTTCTCCCATAGAGTGGATTCCTTTTCATTTTGTCAATGGGTTCTTTTGCTATGCAGAAGCTTTTTAGTTTGATGTAGTCCTATTTATTTATCTTTTCCTTTGATTCCCTTGCCCAAGGAGATATATCAACAAAAATATTGCTATGAGTGGTGTCTGGGATTTTACTGCCTATGTCTTCTTCCAGGATTTTTATGGTTTCACAACTTAAATTTAAGTTTTTTATCCATTTTAAGTTTATTTGTGTGTATGGTGTAAATAGGTGGTTTGGCTTCTTTTTCTTTTTTGCATGTATCTGTCCAATTTCCCAGAACTGTTTATTGAATAGACTGTCTTTACTCCATTGTATGCTTTTGCCCCCTTTATCTCTTCCCCAAAAGACTATCTACCAACTACAAAAAGAAAATCAAATAGTAGTAATAATAATACTAATAACAATGAATCTCATAAACATAATGTTGCAAGACAGAACCCAGACACAAAAGAGTACATGCCGCACAATTCAACTTATGTCAAGTTCAAAAACTAGTCCATGCAAAGAAGTAAAACTGTCCTTATTTGCAGATGACATGATACTGTACATAGAAAACCCTAAAGATTCCATCAAAAAATTATTAGACTTAATAAACCAATTTGGCAATGTAGCAGGATACAAAATTAATGCCAAGAAATCTATGGCATTTCTTTACACCAATAGTGAACTTACAGAAAGAGAAACTAAAAAAGAAATTCCATTTACCATTGCACCAAAAATATTAAGATACCTAGGAATAAACTTAACTAAGGAGGTAAAAGACCTATATGTGAAAAACTACAGGACACTGAAAAAAGATAGAGGAAGACATAAACAGATGGAAGAACATACCGTGTTCATGGATTGGTAGAATCAACATCATCAAAATGTCGACACTACCCAAAGCAATCTATAGATTCAATGCAATCCCCATTAAAATACCAATGGCGTATTTCACAGATCTAGAACAAACGTTCCAAAAATTCATCTGGAACAAAAAAAAGACCTCAAATAGCTGCAGCAATCCTGAGAAAGAAGAACAAAGTAGGTGGGATCTCAATACCAGATATCAAGCAATATTACAAAGCCACTGTTCTTAAAACAGCTTGGTACTGGCACAAGAGCAGACATATAGATCAGTGGAATAGAATAGAAAACCCAGAAATCAACCCAAACCACTACGCCCAATTAATATTTGACAAAGGAGGCAAGAGCATACAATGGAGTCAAGACAGTCTCTTCAAAAAATGGTGCTGGGAAAATTGGACAGATGCATGCAAAAAGATGAAACTAGACCACCAACTTACACCATACATGAAAATAAACTCAAAATGGATAAAGGACTTAAACATAAGATGGGGAACCATAAAAATACTAGAGGAGTCCACAGGCAGCGAAATCGCAGACATATGCCAAAGGAATTTCTTCACTGATACAGCTCCTAGGGCAATGGAAATTAAAGAGAAAATAAACAAATGGGACTACATCAAAATAAAAAGCTTCTGCACAGCAAAGGAAACCATCAACAAAACAACAAGAAAGCCCACTGCATGGGAGTACATATTTGCCAATGTTATCACCAATAAGGGTTTAATCTCCAATATTTACAGGGAACTCATACAACTTAACAAAAGGAAGATAAACAATCCAATCAAAAAATGGGCAATTGACCTAAATAGACACTTTTCGAAAGAGGACATACAGAAGGCCAAAAGACATATGAAAACATGCTCAAAGTCACTAATTATATGAGAGATGCAAATCAAAATGACAATGCGGTATCATCTCACACCTGTCAGAATGGCTATCATCAACAAAACAACAAACAAGTGTTGGAGAGGATGTGGAGAAAAAAGAACCCTCATGCACTGCTGGTGGGAATGCAGACTGGTGCAGCCACT